AAAAAAACTTTCCCTTCTATGTTTCCACACCTCTACCCCAACCCCCATTCATTGAAAGGCCGGTTATAAATCCACTTCCAGCCCGCCCCACCCCCCCCCCCCCCCCTGCGTCCCCGGGTAGTTAGGTATGATAGTGTGACTTATTGAAGGGATACTGTGATATCGTGAAACTATAAAAGTCACACTACGATACATCGATACTATGAAACTATGATACTGTGATACTATGAAATTCATCGTATTTCTATGAAGTTCATACTTTACTGTGATACTATGAAACTATGAAGCTATGAAAGTCATACTATGATACTGTCATACTGTCAAAATATGAAAGTGTGTTTGTGTGGTACTGGTGTGACAGGTCGATACTATGAATTCATGTTTATACTATAGAGTGTCACTGTATCAATTGACAGACTTCAAGATTAGAAGTAACAAAACGTTGTGCAGAGCTCGGACTGGTGTTAAGTTGATGAAAACAGATGTGGCTAGAGGCTGATAGAGCCGGGTTTTTGATCTTTTACTTTCAAATTAATGGTTAACGTCAAAAGTCCAAAGTCCGAAAAGGTCTCATTAACTTGCATAAAGATATTTTTCTAACCACGAATGTAGATCGAATACAAAAATCGGGCTCCATTAGCCCCTAGCCACATTTGTCAGCTTCAATTAAAAACATTCCTGATCTCTATGCGAGATTTCGTTACCGAGTAACCTTCGCATTTTGCATCTAGCTTGAAACTGGCCGTAGAATTTCCAAAAAGTTTTACGTGAGCGTGTATGTGAATGTATGTGAAAAAATATTCCATCTATCACGCTGTTCAATAGCAAGTTTTCTCGATCAAAAACGGCCAAGAAATAGCAAAAAAAGAACGCATATTTCAAAACCATTCTAAAATCACTCTAGCATAAAGTACTAAAAAACGGCCTGGAAACGGTTCATTAACTGACCGTTAACGACCTGTTTACGGTTTGAAGCATCTAATATGTGTCTGTCATGAAACATTTAAAAATCATTTTAAAATCACTCAGGCATTAATTTAATTAATGGGAAATTTTTTTTCTACAGTACCCCGATCCAAAAGTTATTGCGTACCACATAATCAACCAAAGAGAATTGCTAATAACATGTGTGAAAAAACAAAACAGAAAGAAAAACAGTAGTTTTTCTTTTATAAATTATGTAAGAATATTAGCGGCTTTTCCCTCTTTTTTTAAGTTTTGGACGCAGAAGACTCGCTCAAAATCTCGCTCAGAACCTTGAAAAATTGTTTTTTGTAGGTTTGACGACGTGCTCTTTCATTTGGACAGGTCAAGGAAATTTTTTAGTGAAAATGGTTTTCGATTGAAAAACCAAGATCTTTAAAAAACGGGTCTTTAAATCGAAAGCCGGCAAAAACCATTGTGATATTCGGAATCAACACCTTCGATTACCTATTATCAACTGAGTTTAAGCTCAAAAGCGAGGAGGCAGTTGGTGGCCTTCCCTCGTCAGTCAAAACTGATACTCTATTTAATCTGATCAATCTGACTCTGCAGCTAAGCTTAGTAAAAATCTATCGATGAAAAGAAATAAAATTGTTCAAGCTTCAAAGAGTAGATTATTGAAAAAGGTTTCCTGCAGATCTACTTGAAATCTTTTGAAAAATCTTCAGGAGTCTCGAGCATTCAATTTCCTATCGTAACTTTGTTTCACTGCAATAGTAATATATCATGCTAGGTTTTTTTTGTTAAACTCATTCAAACCATTAAGGAATACTATTAATAGACTGTGTAACTGCAACCGGGAATAACTTGTCATGTAATATCCATCCTGTGAAGAATTAGTTCCAGAAACGATAAAGTTCGTTGTTTTGCATGTACAAAAGTTAGCCAATTCAACCATTACACTTCACCCATTTCTATATCACTTTAAATGAACCAAACGTATCACGGTAGAAAATGAATTAGTAGTGGAGAAACTTCTACTCTTACGTTTGTGTCCCGCAGTTTCCGTGAACAGCTTGCCTGTTTTCCTCGACTGTTTCCAGTTCGTACTTGGCTGAAAGTCAAGGTTGTTAAATAATGATAGATAACTATTTTTTTCTATTTCCATCACTCACCTTCATTCATCAATCTAGATTTACGCAATGCGATCACCTTTTCATTCCTTGATAAAACGCATAATAATCGAAATTGTTTAACATCAATCTTGAGAGTATTCGCTGTGTGTTGACTAGTGACGTGCTCAGCGCTGTTTTTGCAAAACATGTTCAGTTTTCTACTTTTTAATGCGGCTACATTCCCGAGAGTACCTGCATTCATGACAGTGATCTTGATTCTGCAAAAGAAAAAAAATAGTTGATCAGACTTCACTGAGCGTGAAGCACACGCGCAGATCGAACAACCTCCAAGTTGAAAGTTGTGTTGTACTCTGATGAATGCTTTTACCGTACATCCTGTGACACCAATTTTTAGTAACACATAACATCCCCGCAAGAAATATGCGTTCATCATTCATTTTCGCATGGATAGATTTTTCTAAGAATTCAAATACTTTTTGACCTCCTTCCCGCCCCTTCTCTACGGCTCAAAGAGTATCTACGTGGGAGTTGAAAACTCTTTCTTATAAAGCTTTTAAAAGACTTACATTTTAAATCCATTTGCAATGTCTTCGTCGTTCAAATCCAGCCGATAAGGACTGTCTGATGCCTTACGATCAAGAAGATTTTTTAAAACACCTTTGGTTGGATTTATAAACAAATTATCTGCTTGTTCACACGTAACATAAATGTCGATTGTCCAATTACCCTCCAGAATCTGTGGAGGAATAACAAACTAAAAGAAAGTTGTAAGGATGTTTGAGTGGTTATTCTTTGTCATGGCTTCTACTTAGTCTATGAACTAATAAATACTGTCCGTTCGAAAATCCAACTCACTCGGTTATCTTCTGACTAACTTTTGATATAAAAGAGCTATAGAGTTCCGGTTTCCGGATTATGGAAGAGTAGACTAGACGACATGTTTTCATAACCAAAATGTTTTTCAGAAGAGATTTCTGAAACAGGTTTTTCTGGAACATCTTTGGAAAATTGGGCGATCTGTCCAATAGGATTATATTGATTTTTTTCATAGGCTGATAGCCCGAGATGTCCTCTTTAAAATGGAATTAAAGTGAGACCTTGATTTTCTGCGGTTCGGGCTTTATATCGAATTTCCAATGAGTCCTCGGACTGGCACCCATTGACTATTGGTAGCCTCATAGACGTATGGACTGTCAGTTATCGACCATGCTGAGTCTCGTGCAATATTTATTTTTAGAAAACAGTTTAAAAATCTAGCGAAAAGCCCATTTCACCTATTACTAAAAAAATGACTATTCACTCAAAAAACATCAGAACAAACTGAAAACTCAGGATATGATTAACGTTGTCCTCTAAACGTGATTATAAGATGGAAAAAATCGAAAAGCATATTTTTATAATGAAATTTTTCAGAAAGCGTTTTGGAAAACCCTGGAATTTTGTGGAATTTCTTTCGAGATCTCATACAAATAGGGTATAGAATAGCTTAAATACTCTACATTCTGAAGTTTTGAAGTCGCTCTGATGTTTTTTGAGTGAATAGTGAACTTTTTAATAGTAGGTGAAAAGAGCTTGAAAACCCTTTTTTCGGGCGTTTCGCCAGATTTTTAAAATGTTTTCTGAAAATAAATATTGTCATAATATTGTCCCTCCCCCCATGCAGATCCTTGAGACAATATCTAGAATGCAGTTTTTATTCTTGTAAAATACTGCTCTCTCGTAAAAATATAGTAAAAACACTTAAGAACCTCTAACCAAAATGGAGTTTTTCATTTGTCGGAGTTGGAGAAAAAAGGTCTTAAAAATATCCAGAAAAAGAGAGGGAGAGGTATCCTTAAATTACTTACCTTCCCTGTAAGAGGTTAAAAAATTTTAGTCATTTGTAAACCTTAAGGCACTTACTCTTAGTACAAGATACTTAGGATTATCTCGTGTTGACAATGGTGCTTTGAGGAAGAGTTGACGAGCTTGTAAAAATCTAAATAAAATTTTACTTTCTCAAGAACTCTTTAGCAGCATATGATTGTACTAAGTGATACTTGCGGTGTACGCAGCGGTCCAAATGCATCATACACACCCCATCGTTTTTGTGGTTTTCGCACATTTCTACCTGGATGAAAACGGAGTATGCCAGTTCTATGAACTAAGAACTGGACACGTTTCCAATTTGTCTGGCAACAAGTAAACACATTAACAGATGAAATACGTGGTACAGTAAGACTCTATACAAATATCTCTCCTACCTTACCTTGGAGTAATGTGCGGAAGGAAATCTGGAATTATGCGTTTTTTAAAACACGTGATCCATTTATTTCATTATATATATCCAATATGTTAAAACTTTACAAAAGTACAAAAAAGTAAAAAAGTAAAATTA